ATATATAAAAGAAATGCAACAATGACTTGAAAAATAAAAAGTTTATAAAAATCATATCTACAATTTTGTAAAAAAATATATAATGGCACAATACCTTTTTATAAATGTACGAAAAAATTAATATAACAAATAAGTAAAAAAAATTAAACATAAAAAAGTAAATATAAAAAAATGAATCATAATATGTGAATGTGAAATAATATAAATAATGAAAACAATTATAATAATATATATTTTTATTTTCTATTTTTTTATTATAAATAATTTAGATTAGGATAAAATATAATTTTATGTAAAGTCAGAGTTAATTATTAATCTTTTTAAGAATTTTCAGGAGGATTAATAGAATATAAAGAAAGTCCATTCAATCTCAAATAAACTAATTGATTTAATCAATCATGTCATTTATGTGAAACATCTTTACTTAATATAAGTGTAAATTAAAATTCAAACTTATAAATTTAACTTAAATAGAGCCCTTTAAAATAAAATTATTTTTATTTTAATCATCTTAATTTTAATTATTTTCATTTTACTTCTCTTAATTTTAGTTCTATTTTTTTTTTGTTTTCATATTAGTCTCTTTTTATTTGGTCCACGCAATATTCTCATTTTTTTTATTTTGATCTCTATAAATTTTTTTTTTGTTGATTTTTTTCCATTAGATTTAACGGTTAATTTAAGGGTAAGAACAAAAAAAAAAAATTACAGAGAAAAAAGACTATAATCAAAATCCCGCAATTTTGCACCCACTAAAAAGTTATTTAAATTTTTGAGATTTTTTCTGGTAGCGATTGTCTGAGAATTCGCTTTTAGTTAGCTGTTTAAATCTTTAATTTATAAACGAACCAAAAAAAAAAATCTTTAATTTATAAAATTATAAAATTTTGTTTTATATGAATATTGGGGTTTGCAATTACCAAGAATACTCCTTTAGCTTTTTCTTTTTTTTTCCCTCTTTACCGTGGCTCTGAAAAACGTGGTCACACTAATGAAGAAGACTACGATGACATCGTTGGGGCCAACCACAACCGCCAGCAGTGGCTCTACCTCTGCTGGATTTGGTACAGATCAATTTTTGGGAACCTTAATAAATTCTCAATGCTCGTGGTTGCCAGGAAACCCCGCATTAAACCCATGTCAAATTCTCACTCCCCCATTTCAACATATATATAAAAATTAATCACCTATACATTGTGAATGTAATAAAGTCTTTATAATGATAGTGTATAGGTGATTAACTTTATATATTATACCCCTTTCATTTCGATATGCTCATCCTCTTTTCTTAGCAAGAGCCCCTTAACTACACTACAACACTCAAGTTTACACATTTTTTTAATTAAGGGAGGAATATGCAAATTCAATCCACAACATCTTAACCATTCAATTTTTTTATTATATATTAAATGGTTAAAACTCGTTTTCTACATATTTACTACTTAACTTCACACTTTAATTTCCTACTTCATATGTATAACACGCCTAATATAGTGTTTCATGTTTAAATTTCTCCTCTTACTTTTTTAAACATTATATATATAGAGAGGGAACATATCAAGTGAGAGAGAATTTATTATGAGAGATGAGAGGGTTAAAATATAACTCTTAGATTAATTTCCTCTCACTTGATTAATCTTCAAATTTTCTCTCACTTGATTAATCTAAGAGTTATATTTTAACTCTCTCATCTCTCATAATAAATTCTTTCGCACTTGATATGCTCCCATATATATATATAAACATAAAACATTAGATAGGGAAGATATTCTCAAAATCATTAAACAAGGAGTTAATAACATGTTGAGAATTCTTAGATCAAGTACTATTATCCCCTTAATGATTAATCAAAATTTAATAGTGTCTAATTTAACTTAGAATTTTTATTTGTTAAATCGAGAATCACTTGAAATCTACTAGAAGAATTTCACCTTTAACACTAGTTAACCTCTTTGAGTATGCATGTCCATTAAAGTAAAATTTCAATGACCACAGCAGTTGTTAATTTTTTTAATATAACTCAATATTTACTTTTATGAGAGGATAATTAAGCTAGGGTATATTAGACCCTTTTAAAAGAAAAAAGATTTAAGGAATAAAAGTGAGAATCAACAAAAGTTTAAGAGATAAAACTAAGAAAAAATATTTGTTCAAGAACTAAAAACAAAATTCAAGATAATGGTAGTGGTTAGAAGTGATGATTTAACAATGATAATTGTGATGATTCAATGATGATAGTAATAATGATGATAATGATAACAATGATAATAATGATGACAGCGATTTTATGGAAATATGATAATGTTAATAATAAAGACAATTTTGATAATGACAATACATGATAACTTTATTTATAATATTTTAATCTAAATTATTTATTTTAATTTAAAAATTAAGATTAAACATTCTCATTCTTACATAAAAATAACATTCTCATATTATACTCTCTATATATATATCAATTTTATAATTAATTATAAACTAAATAGTGTGAACCTCAATTATATTTTTGGTAGGTTTTGTAAAGTATTGACGACGTTCAAGTTTAATAACTGGTTGTCTTGAGTTTATTGTTAATCAACTTTAACAATTATAACATTATATTTAAAATTAATTATATTTTTCAAATCTAACTTTAACAAATAAGTAAGACGGTACAATAATGTATAAAAAAATTGACTGAAAATAATAAAGAAGTTCACAAAAGATAAGTCACTCCGTTTAATTTCCTAATAACAGATGGTGCTAATAAAAGGCTCAGTTATAAAAACGCCCGAAATTTGGTTCGCCATTCATTCACCTGGTGACATTGTTACTGTTGCATTATGATCTTATCTTCTTGCATCCTTCTTTTTTCTCTCTCATGGTTTACATTACCTGTGATTGGCACAAACTCCATTCGTGACCATTGCAAACCATACAAATCAATTATCAAACGATGGTCTGTACTTAACAAGAAATCATCATCATCCTCTAGTGGAGATAACCTACAACGCCGCAACCAAACACGACAGGTATATAGAATCTAGAATCACTCTCTCATGTACCCCTCATTCTTCATGTAAAAAGTTTCTAATTAGGTTCATCAAAAGTCAAAACAGTTACATGTTATAACTACTAGGCTGTTATAATATATGATCATTAAGTTAAGTACATCGGGATTCCAGGCTCATTTGTTAACAAAAATATGGTTATAAATTAATTCTGAGAATGGCATTTTCCATATTTGAAATTTCTTTGAATGCATGCATGAATGCACGTACAATGACGTACGTAGGATGATAATAATGAGAAAGTCTAACGAAAATATTCACTTTGTATTTCCTCACCAGGAACCTATTCAAGATAAAAAAATCACGAAAGGAATTCACTGCTTTGGATTAAATGGAGATGATGATGATCGACCCGTGAGTTCAAGAGGATGTTGTTTATGCAGGCATAGAAACTTAGATAGTTCGTGTTTTCATTCCTTAATTTCTGCGTCTAGAAATGCATGCAGAAAGACTAATCACGCCTCAAGCAAGAGCTGCGATTTTAGGCCTACCCCTTCTTCATGGAACAGCAGCAGAAGTTTCACAATGCCTCCTCATCTGAACTCAAGGAATGCCAGCCGCAGGAGCAGCAATCCAATCATGTATTCTAATTCATCTGGGATGGTAAAACCCCCACCAATTGAGAAAAAGATTGAATGCACTCTGGAAGATTTGTGCTATGGATGCAAGAAAAAGATCATGATCACAAGGGATGTCCTCACAGATACAGGGTTCGTATTCATGCATTAGTATTCCTTGTTCCTTTCTTCTTTCTGATTTACACACTTCAATATATTTTGTCAATATATATGCCAATATATACGTGTGGAGAGAGTCCTGCTAATATACACTATCGTTGCTTTTTGAAAGTATGATAGCTGGATACACTTTGAGAATATATCAACAAATCTAAAGTTGTAATTTCAAATATACGTATACTAAGAATAAAGAAATGTTAGTCATTAGATCTGCTTTTGTCGTATAATCTTTGTCTAAAGATAGTATAAACGTCATTATGAATCTATCCTATCAGAATTATACTTCATCACACAACATTGTGAAACAATGATGGTATATAACAATTTGTTTGTATATTGATACATACCATCTTATTTCATGTTGTTAGTGCCATGAATCACTGATAGATTAGAATTTAGAAGTAATATTTGACAGACTATAAGAGGTGGAGGCTGGAGCAAGTCTAATGAGTAATAACTAAAATTATATGATAGCATATCAAGTGAGAGTGTGTGAGAAGAACCAATATCATAACCATCTAATTCAAATGGATGATTGAGATTAAAAATAATTAAAATAATTTTGACCAAAATTAACTCCTCACACCTTTCAGGCTCACACTTAGTATGTCTCCTATGTATTTGCGTGTGTGTGAAGATTTTCCAAGCTCAGGATTTCAGCGACTATTTATTTGGCAAAAGCTTAATGAATATGCTTGATATTTGTTCTTTACAGGGGAATAGTTCAAGAGGAAGAATTGGTGACGATAAATGTACAACCTGGATGGAAGAAAGGAACAAAGATTACATTTGAAGGAAAAGGGAATGAGAGACCAGGTGCCTACAGAGAAGATATAATATGTATCATCTCAGAGAAAAGACACGAGTTATTTAGAAGAGAAGGGGATGATTTGGAATTGAGTGTAGAAATTTCCTTAGTAAAGGCACTCACAGGCTGTACAATATTAGTCCCACTGTTGGGTGGAGAGCACATGACTTTGACACTTGACAATATCATACACCCTGGCTATGAGAAGATCATTTTTGGCCAAGGTATGCCAATCTCCAGTGAACCAGGGATGAGAGGAAACTTGAAAATTACGTTTCTAGTTGAGTTTCCAACACAACTCTCATACAATCAAAGATCAGAGGTTGTTCGTATTTTACAGGATTCTTCATGATCAAAGCCTTTGTAACCTTTCTTTTATTCTTTCTTTTGTTTATCGATCGAATAGATTAAATTTCTCAATCTTTAGAGCACCATAAATCCCAAAAAAGCAAAACAATTCATGTTAGGTGTGAGCACCTCTTATAAAAAGTGGTATTTTGTTCTTACCAGAATAGCTGATCAAACTTTAATTGTTTTAGATGAAAATAAATCTTATCAGAATAACCTTATCCCTCCGCGAAGCCGAAGGGCATGTTATATGTACATGTGTACACAATATCACAACTTATTCGCATTACAAAAACGAGACATATTAACAAAATCATGAAGAGAATTAACAATAGTTAATTTGCTTTTTCAAGGGCAAGCCTCGCTTATTGGATTTCCTTAAAAACAAAATCAATAGAAAAACTAAACAGCATGCCAAAATACAAATAAGGCAGAACTAAAGATACATCAACACCAGCTAGATTTGAAAAAAAATTAAACTTAGGACCATCTGAAAAGAGCACGAAGTATGCCAAGGATACTACCACCAATAAGAGCCCTCATCAATCTCAGTTTTGTATCCGTGTACGGTGGGTACCTTATTGATCCATCACCAGCAAAACTGCGATAAAGAACAGCTTTTTTGTGTGTAAAAGCATCAAAGGAGAACTTCCCGTGGTACGCTCCCATCCCACTCTCCCCAACTCCCCCGAATGGCAAAGTATGAACCACAAGCTGCACCAGGAAAAGGAAAACACACATGAAAAATGTTCAGATATTTAATTGATTCAAACCATAAATACAGAACATTGAATAACAAGACTATATCCATGTCAATAGATGGGGGAAAAGTTTTAAAAATAAATCATAATCTATGATCGAACATGCTATTTGAAGAAATTCATAAAATTCAATATGAATCAACAGAAGCAGAGACATGATTGCACACACACATACACGTGCACCACGCACATGAAATAAAAACAATTGAAGTTGCATTTCAAAGGTTTTCTATCCATTCAAGTTTAAAGTATCCTTAGAATTTGCATAAAAAAAATGATTTCATACTGAAATTTTGAAGCTGATTAGGAACTTCGATGTTGTTCAGTGATACTAAGAATCACACATAAAGACACATGAAATTCATGGAAAAACTTCAAAGAAACGAATTGTACATGTAAGGCAGTGTCATTGACAAGCAAACCCCCGGCAGAAACATTCATTACGAACTGTTCCTTGAACTTCTTGTCGGTTGTAAATATATATGCAGCAAGGGGCTTTGTTCCTGAATTTATGACATCTATACTTTCTTCCAGTTTATTGACCTGTTCCAAGCAAGAATTGAAATTTATAGTGTTGGGATACAAACAAGTCTCACATCGATAAAATAAGAGAAGAAATAATAATTTATAAAACACACATATATTCCAATGATTGAGAGACCTTTTGACAATGATCAAAAGCAAAAAGATAATATTTCATTGCTTTAAAATTAAAAGAAGCAAATAAAGTCTATTGCTGAGAATTTTCAAATTACAAACACCTGTTTCCACGTTAGTTTAACATTTAGCTTAAAAGTTTAGTAAATGTCCACAAAAGACTAGCTACTAATATATAAACAATTGAAGTTTTCCCTGAGATATCTTATTTCTGATTTTCTAAGTTAGTGGTTACTTTATGAGTTGAGAATCGACTTTTGACTCTTATTCCAACTGAAGAAGCGCATATCAATGTTATGTGCTCATTATTGTAAAAGCAATGAAAGAATGCAATACAAATGAAATTTAAAGAGAAAATTTCATACACAGTTCTTTATGTGGCTTTATTCATACCGTGATGATAGGAAGCAATGGACCAAATATCTCCTCGCCCATTATCAGAGAATCTCGCGGAACATCCAGTAAAACAGTGGGAGCAATCCTTCTGCAAATTTTAGGAGAATAAAAAAGCCAGTGTCAAGATCTATTGCATATCTTTAATAAAATAATTTCAAATTTAAAAACAGATTAAGGGAGCTTACAATTTCTTTTCATCCTTTTCACCTCCATAAACAATCTTGCCAGAAACCTTATCATCATCCAAGAGCTTTGACAAGCGAGCAAAGTGGTTGGAACTCACAATTCGGGACAAATCTTCTGATTCCAACGGGTTCTTTCCATAAAAATTCTCCAATTCAGTCTTTAGGGCATCCACCTGAAAATAGAAGGCATCAAATAATAAATAAAGACATAGGTTCAGAATTGTAATTACACGTAGGGAAATTTTCATACCAATTTGGGAGCGTAGTCTTTTGTTGTTATCACATAATCTGGAGAAATGCAAGCTTGTCCATTGTTCAACCCCCACTTGCCAGAAATTATTCGTCTAGTGGCTACCTGTAAGTACAAATTAACTTAAGAATGAGTAACAATAAGTACTTGGAGAAAAAAATGCTTAGGCAAAGCAAAATATACCTGTAAATCGATATTTGAATCAACAACAACAGGAGATTTTCCTCCAAGCTCCAGTACAACTGGTGTAAGGTGTTTTGCAGCAGCAGTCATCACTATTTCTCCCACTCTTCCATTACCTAACAATCCAGTATATGAATAACTTAAATGAAGTTATTACTTATTAGAGATAGCTTTGGCATCATTGACGTGGTTTTGATCTTGGATTTGAATATCGAATGTACAAACAAACATGCACTTAATTCTCTTGCTTTTGTGTTCAAAATATGCATTTATTTAATTCCCTTAAGAGGGGTTTCAAATTTGCACGTGTATAATAAGCATGAAAGCATGCCGATTGTAAAGAAAACTAGAATATTTAAAAGGAAGAAAAACCTGTATAGAAAATCTTATCCCACTTTTGCTGCAACAGTGCAGTTGTTTCATCAACTGCCCCCTCGACAACTCTTATAAATGAGTTATCCATATACTTCTCAATCAATTTTGCTAGTAGTGATGATGAGGCCGGAGCAATTTCTGATGGTTTTAAAATCACAGCATTACCAGCTGCTATAGCTCCAACAACTGGATCGAGGGACAACACTGGAAACCCAGGTAGTTATTAATTTATTGTAGGTTTTAAAAGAAAAAGAAGAGGAAAGAAATCGCTGAAAAAAGCCAGCTCAAAAATATATAAAACTCAAGGTCAAGCAATATTAACATACAAATTGGATAGTTCCATGGAGAGATGACTAACACAACACCCAACGGTTCAGGCACTATTTCAGCTGAAGAAGGAAAAGTTCTGATTGAAGTTTTGACCTGAAATAGGAAACGATCGAACATCACATGACGAACAAAATAAATTATAAAAGTAATATTATTGGTCAATAATTTCCTTTTTAGCAGAAGAAATTCATATTAAATGTACCTTTTCTGGTGCCATCCAATGTTTCAATTCCTTCAGTATGACTTCACACGAGTTTTTAAACATGCCAATCTACAAGACAAACTATACTAGTTAAGAGTAGAAAGAAAAATATGATTTTCAACGCAGCAGTGTATTCATTACACAACCTGTCGATAATATAAGAAAACTAGTTTTTTGTTCCATATTTTCAGCTTTATGTCCTTGTCACCAAAGCTCCAAATTCCAAAATATGTTTAGTTGCAATATTATATTACAAGTCTGAAGTGTTTATGTACTGCACTTTCAGCTTCTTGGCAAAAATAGATTTATTGTGTTTTCCGATTCGTTTAATATCAGAAGTGTATGTTAGTGACATAAGTTGCAATAATTATCAATAACAGCCAAGTAATTTCACATTAGACACAATTAGTTACATGAATAAAACAATGTCATATAATTTATTGTTTTACCTACCTATTTTGTACTTTGTTGCGACTTTTACGTACATAATAATATCAATTTTGGATTAAAAAAAAAGGAGGATTAATTGTATTAGGTACTCATTGACGACGTTGTATTAATGATCCGATCAGTGATTTTAAGTTCCAAACGTTTAAATTAAAAAAAATATATATATTCAAATGGTATATTTTACTTTTTTTTTTTGTAGTGACTTGTGTTTTAACACATTTTCATTATTAGCTAATTATTTAAGGTGTATAAAACATATTTAATTCCTTTAAAACACAAAAGATTTAGTGGGGAATTCATTTTCGAATACAAAAATTCATCGAGTCAATAATAATTATAATATTACGAGTGATATTAATATTTAGGCCCGTAGAGGAAGAGATACTCAGGGCAAGAAAGACAATCAAACATAATTAAACCTATTCATGGGATGTACCCAAACCATAAGCCGAGAACCGAGATTATAAACAACTAGGGTAAGATGTATTATGATTTATGGTTTTCGAATACAAAAATTCATCGAGTCAATAATAATTATAATATTACGAGTGATATTAATATTTAGGCCCGTAGAGGAAGAGATACTCAGGGCAAGAAAGACAATCAAACATAATTAAACCTATTCATGGGATGTACCCAAACCATAAGCCGAGAACCGAGATTATAAACAACTAGGGTAAGATGTATTATGATTTATGGAAAAAAAAAAATGGAAAAAAAAAAAAAAAAAAAAAAAAAACTGCAATAAGACATCATGTGCTACTGTCCTAGAATTTAAGAAACAGCTTTCTTCTTATTTATTTATTTATGAATTGCATATACACTCTATACCTCTCTATGAATTATCTGTTGGTCAACTATATATAAGCTGTATTAGTTAGTTGTGAAACTGACACTTATTGTTTCCCCAATAACCAAAAACACTCATCCTTAACGTGAAGGTAACAAGATCACAGCAGATGCAGAAAATTGTCTTTCAAACTTCCTAAATAAACTAACTAGTACACTCTGAGTTTAATATATTTGTTCGTGTGTATGGTTTAACATGGTTTGGATAAATAATTATTTTTTCAACACTCGGTAAGAACTTTATAGAAAGAAAGGGGGAAAAAAACAATTCAGAGTAACAAATAAAAACATGTACTAGTAAATAAAGCGATTGCCATATCATTTGCATGGTATAAACATGTATAAAAATTAGTAATATATTTATAA